CGTTTGATTTACAGACAGCTATTCCATAGACGACCCCTCCCCCCCCCCCCCCCCCCCCCGCATAAAAAAAGACCAAAAAAAGAAACAAAAAACAACAAAAAATCATGCCAAAAAAAAACTTATGTGCCGGCTACTGGAATGTTAAAAATTAACTTTTGTATATAACTTTTTTGTGTGTACTTGTGTAGATATGTTGTATAGTCTGGTTCACATGTGCACTTTTTTTTTCCTGAAATTTTACTGTAACGTCGGTTTAAATGAAAATAATTGTTTATTCTCTCTCTGGGTACCGACGTTACAGTCAACGCTGTGGATAAACCCAGAGTCAATAGCCAAGAGACAATTTACTTGGGATCAACACTGGAAAATTATAGCAAATAATGGAGGCCCAAGTCGATAGTATGGAAACCAAGGCCACAGCTATGGCCACGCGGGCCAAAGTGAAGTCAACGATGGAGAGTCGGCGAGACAGCGCCCAGGCTCTCATCGAAATGAAGGACAGCATTCAACCATTGCTGTTAGTACTTCCACCAGACGTGAAGAAAGTCAGAGCTGAGCACTCAAGATGGCTTGAGGAATATGAACGGTTCTTGACTCACCACGGTGAATATTTAGCACTGGTTACCGATGACCGGCGGCCTACAGTGCAGGTAGAACTACAGCCTGAGCTCAGCAGCTTCCAGGACTTTAAGGACACACTAGATCAATGGCTAGTGTACCACACCAGCATACATGATGGGGACAGCGGGAGGTCAGTGAGGTCACATACTTCTCGTTCTGCTGGGAGCCGTATTTCCAGTTCCTTATCGATAGCCAGAGCAATGGAGCATCAGAAGACTGCTGAACTATTGGCCCGAACTAAAGCACTTCGAGAGAAAGGAAAGTTGGAGGAGGAGAGGCTCCAGTTTGAAGCCAGGCGGAGAGAAGAAGAACTGAGACTAAAACAGAAAGAGGAAGAGCTGGAGCTCAGGACCGAGTTGCAGGTTTCAAGTGCAAAGGCAGCAATCCTAGATGAACTGGAGCAGAGTGAGCTTCGAGACGAGCAAAATTTGAGTGCTTTGCCCCTGCTCTCCTTGAGACCACCCTCATCGCTAGGCAGAGCTTTCAATCCTGCCGCACCAGAATACATCCCCTCAGCATCGCAAGTCATGTCATCGTTGCCCATGTCTACTCCGGCCCAGGCAAGATGTCAACCCCAAACTCAAGATTCAGACACCACACGTCTAACAGGTGAACTCACAAGTACAATGAGTAAGTCCCCCAGCAGGCCCCTATTCAAGACACGAAAGAGCCGGACACTAAAACAGTAGTGAAGTCAGAGATCGTCAAGCAGGAGGATCAAGTGTCATCTGGACGCTCAAGTGACGCTCAGGAGGGCAGCGAGAGTCAGAACCCGTTGGTAGTGTCAACTGTGTCCGTAGCGCAACACCTAGTCAAGGAGATCAGGAAGCCCGCCTCTGACCTGGCTAAGTTTAAGGGAGATCCCCTGGAGTACAAGAGATTCATCCGCCAGTTTAAGGCTAGAGTTGTCGCCAACACAGTGGACGATGACGAACGGATGAACTACCTAGAGCAGTTTACTGAGGGAGAGCCACACCACATCGTGAATGGCTATAGCTGTCTTTCTGCCGATGTCGGCTACCCGGCTGCACTCAAAGAAAGGGAGAAACGGTATGGAGACGTGGACCTACTGGCCAATGCTTACGTACAGAGGGCTCTTGGAGTGCCAGAGATCAGACCCGATAACCCGTCTGGACTTGACGCCTTTGCTATTTTCCTGATGGAGTGTAAAAATGCAGTACACTCCATAAATGCGGCAAAGGTTCTGGAGTATTCCGAGAACATCAAGCGACTGGTCTCCAAGCTCCCCTTCTATCTACATAATAGATGGCGAAATATAGTCATGAACAAGAAAGATAACGCCGAGCTGGTGACCTTCACACACCTGGTAGACTTCGTCCAAAGAGAAGCCAGGAAGGCAACAGACCCAGTATATGGACGAGTTGCATTGGCAGGCAAGCCCAAGGAAGCTAAACATGTGAGAGGAGGAGGACGCCCTCAGCCATCGGTCAGAAAGATTGGGTGTGCTTCCGGAGCAGCTGAGTCTGTTGGTGTCAGTAAGCAGGAGAAGCAAGTCTACGCAGACTAGGGCACCAAGTTCGCAGCCGATATAGCAAGCTCAAAGCCATGTAGTTTCTGTCAGGGATCAGGACACGCAATGCAGGAGTGCCGAAAGCTCATGGCCAAGTCACTCGAAGACCGGTTGCAATTCCTGAAGTCTAAGGGACTTTGCTTTGGTTGCCTGAAGTATGGCCATCTGAGTAAACGATGCAGAGCCAAGGCCAAGTGCAAGGAGTGCAACGCCCTGCATCCCACAGTTCTTCACAAGGAAAGAGAACAACAACAGAAAGAGGGAGAAGAGTCTCCAAAGCCCGAGACACCCGAGACCACCGACAGGGGGAAGTCATGTTCCACATACATGGCTCCATTCAAGGACAGGGCTAGCTCTCACATGGGAGCCGGTGTGGCAGGTAATTCTGTCCCCCCTGGTAAATGTGTCCCCCCCCCCCGGACAGATCTACCGGGTCGTGACCCGGTAAATCTGTCCGGGGAGACACTTTTACCTAGGTAAACCTGTCCCCCTCTAGGTAAATCTGTCCCCCTGTACGACGTTAAATGTGTCCCCCCTGGTAAATGTGTCCCCGTGCAACGTCACAAGTCTAGCACCCAGACTGTATATAAGTGAAGTTATTAACTGTTTTTGCGCGGCGCCTTGCTAAATTCGGGAATGGTGCTAACGTCAAAGCACAACTCCCGTTTTGATGACGACTTCGGGAGCGAACGATTTGCATAGTGGGCGTGCGCGCGATACCGCACCTACGGGCAGTGCCAGGGCCGCGGCCGGGGACGGGGACAACATTGCACCAGCAGCAGGCCTGCGGCGCGGTGACCCGTGTCGCGTATAATTTTGCCAATTCTCCTCATTGAAGTCCGCCATGACAGTCACACGCGTATCGGCGGCTGATGCGCGTGCGCGCTAGCGATAGGTTGAGTATTATACTACGCGTGCCTTCTTGCAGAAACATAGATCGGTTGATTAACATCTAAACGTTAATTTCATTTTGATAATTATTGATGAAGGGTGGAAAAATCTAAAAATGTATACCTGTGCGCTGAATTTATTATAATAACATCAATATAACAACTTATGCGTGCAAAACCAGGGGGGACAGAATTAACTGGAGGGGACAGAATTACCTGGAGGGGGACACAACTAACGGGACAGGGGGGACACTTTTACCTAGGTAATTCTGCCCCCCGGACACTTTTACCGGGGGCCAGAATTACCGTCCACACCGGCGCGGGTCTTTGCACCATGGCCATCATACCAGTAAGGGTCAGGTCCCCAACTACCAATACCACAGTGGAGACCTACGCCTTCCTCGACCCGGGCAGCAACGTGACTTTCTGTACTGAGAACCTTGCACAGCAGCTTGGAGTAACTGGCAAGGCCACTTCCATGGAAGTATGCACCATGGGACAGACTCAGAATTTCACAAAACACCGTATCTCGGGGCTAGAAGTTTGTGGGCTTGACTCAGGTCCTGTTGTAAAGCTCCCTGTGGTCTACACCAAATCCGAGATGCCTGTCACCAGAGATATCATGCCAACGCAAGAAGACGTTGATGGGTTTGAACACCTCAGAGAGATTAAGCTTCCAGTTATTCAGGCCGAGGTGTGGATGCTGATAGGCAATAACGTCCCAGCCGCATATACACCACAAGAGCTGAAGACAGGGCCGTTACGTGAGCCTCATGGAGCCAGATCAGTCCTTGGATGGATAATATGGGGCACGGTCAGAGACGGAGAGGAGCCGCGCCACCTTTCCAACCTTCAACTAGCTAGAGAAGAGGCAGGACAACTTCAGAAGTAGGAAGACATGGTCAGATCGTCCATAGACATGGACTTTCCAGAGTAACTAGTGGACAGTAAGAAGGAGCTTTCAGTTGAAGATAAGCAATTTGAGGAAATTATTGGAAGATCGTTGAAGCTGGTAGACGGTCACTATCAGTGTGACCTAGCTGCCATTTCGGGATCCAGCTTGCAAGCTAGAAGACAACAAGTGTCTTGCCATGGACCGTTTGATGTCCCTAAAGAAGAAACTCGGAAACAATCCGATCTTCCACCAAGACTATGTGACCTTCATGAACTCACTACTCGAGAGAGGGTATGCAGAGAAAGTCACCGAAACCCCCGACGACAGCAGATATGTAGTGAACCGGTGGTACATGCCTCATCATGGCGCGCGCCCTTATAAAAATCCACTATAGTTTCACCATTATAAATTTGTAGTTTTACTATAGTTCATCAAAGTTTACTATGATAAGTATAATATATGTAAAGTTTTGTGTAAGGTAAAGTTACTTTTATTTTACTACAGTAAATACTGCAGTATTATTGTACGAAATTTAAAGTTAACTTGTAGTAAATATAAAGTGCCGTATTAAAGTTTACTGCAGTTTCACATCATACAAAAACTATAGAAACACTAAAGTACGACTACAGTTTTAACACTCAACGTTCTACATATTTACTGTAGTTTCACTACATCCAAAAACTGTAGTATTACTTTTTTTTAAACGCTGAAGTAGGACTACAGTTTGAACACAATACTTTCTGCATATTAACTGTAGTTTCACTACATCCGAAAACTGTAGTATTACTTTTTAAAAATTGAAGTTAGGACTATAGTTTTAACACAATACTTTCCGCATATTAACTGTAGTTTCACTACTTCCGAAAACTGTAGTATTACTTTTAAAAAATTGAAGTTAGGACTACAGTTTTAACACAATACTTTCTGCATATTAACTGTAGTTTCACTACTTCCGAAAACTGTAGTATTACTTTAAAAAAATTGAAGTTAGGACTACAGTTTTAACACAATACTTTCTGCATATTAACTGTAGTTTCACTACTTCCGAAAACTGAAGTATTACTGTAGGGATCTGGGAATTCCCCTTTAACAAGTTACGTACGCGCCATAAGCATGATGACGTCACTGACTCGTGGTTGCTAAGTGCGTTCGGCAACTACATAGTTACAACAAAAACGTTCTTATAATTTCTCAAACTTTATTCTTACTATTTTATTGGGCATGTATAAGTTGGCAAAATACATTTATAGTTTTCTCATAATATTAGATCACTCCTGAAATATGATATTTTACTAAAGTAAATCTGGGTTTTTGTGCTTCGGACTTCTTCGGGCTTTTCCGGAAGTAAGTGGCCTACGTGCAGGATTGGCACGTCCTGTTCCTTTTTCTTCGGACCATGCCGTTGCATGATGTGAGCCAAATTCACATCAAAAAACCTTCTTTGGCGAGCTAAAATCTGAAGGCCCATATCTGAACAGCCCACCAACTGAAGTGAAGTGCTGTATAGCTGCTTTTGGAGTCATTTAAGGAAAGATTTGAAGATGTCGGGGTGAGAATTTAAGGCATTTCTTTCGACACATTTTGTACCGAAATTGTAAACAAACTGAAGGTACATGTACGTGTATTGTACGTATAGTGTGTACGCTGTGACATGCAAACTTTAATACACAGCGTCTGCTTTTCTATTTCATTGTACAGGGTTTTTATATTCCATTGAAATATTGTATCTCAACTGGATCATCAATAAATCAACCAATCAACTAATGACAGAAACCGATGATGATTGTCCACGCTTGGTGATTGCCTCCCATCCTCCTTAACTGGTGGACGAGTCTCCCCCCTCTGAATAAGCGACAGGGCCGACCACTACATTACTTTTTAAAAACTGAAGTTAGGACTACAGTTTTAACACAATACTTTCTGCATATTAACTGTAGTTTCACTACTTCCGAAAACTGTAGTATTACTTTTTAAAAACTGAAGTTAGGACTATAGTTTTAACACAATACTTTCCGCATATTAACTGTAGTTTCACTACTTCCGAAAACTGTAGTATTACTTTTTAAAAATTGAAGTTAGGACTACAGTTTTAACACAATACTTTCTGCATATTAACTGTAGTTTCACTACTTCCGAAAACTGTAGTATTACTTTTAAAAAATTGAAGTTAGGACTACAGTTTTAACACAATACTTTCTGCATATTAACTGTAGTTTCACTACTTCCGAAAACTGTAGTATTACTTTTTAAAAATTGAAGTTAGGACTACAGTTTTAACACAATACTTTCTGCATATTAACTGTAGTTTCACTACTTCCGAAAACTGTAGTATTACTGTAGGGATCTGGGAATTCCCCTTTAACAAGTTACGTACGCGCCATAAGCATGATGACGTCACTGACTCGTGGTTGCTAAGTGCGTTCGGCAACTACATAGTTACAACAAAAACGTTCTTATAATTTCTCAAACTTTATTCTTACTATTTTATTGGGCATGTATAAGTTGGCAAAATACATTTATAGTTTTCTCATAATATTAGATCACTCCTGAAATATGATATTTTACTAAAGTAAATCTGGGTTTTTGTGCTTCGGACTTCTTCGGGCTTTTCCGGAAGTAAGTGGCCTACGTGCAGGATTGGCACGTCCTGTTCCTTTTTCTTCGGACCATGCCGTTGCATGATGTGAGCCAAATTCACATCAAAAAACCTTCTTTGGCGAGCTAAAATCTGAAGGCCCATATCTGAACAGCCCACCAACTGAAGTGAAGTGCTGTATAGCTGCTTTTGGAGTCATTTAAGGAAAGATTTGAAGATGTCGGGGTGAGAATTTAAGGCATTTCTTTCGACACATTTTGTACCGAAATTGTAAACAAACTGAAGGTACATGTACGTGTATTGTACGTATAGTGTGTACGCTGTGACATGCAAACTTTAATACACAGCGTCTGCTTTTCCATTTCATTGTACAGGGTTTTTATATTCCATTGAAATATTGTATCTCAACTGGATCATCAATAAATCAACCAATCAACTAATGACAGAAACCGATGATGATTGTCCACGCTTGGTGATTGCCTCCCATCCTCCTTAACTGGTGGACGAGTCTCCCCCCTCTGAATAAGCGACAGGGCCGACCACTACATTACTTTTTAAAAACTGAAGTTAGGACTACAGTTTTAACACAATACTTTCTGCATATTAACTGTAGTTTCACTACTTCCGAAAACTGTAGTATTACTTTTTAAAAACTGAAGTTAGGACTATAGTTTTAACACAATACTTTCCGCATATTAACTGTAGTTTCACTACTTCCGAAAACTGTAGTATTACTTTTTAAAAACTGAAGTTAGGACTACAGTTTTAACACAATACTTTCTGCATATTAACTGTAGTTTCACTACTTCCGAAAACTGTAGTATTACTTTTTAAAAATTGAAGTTAGGACTACAGTTTTAACACAATACTTTCTGCATATTAACTGTAGTTTCACTATTTCCGAAAACTGTAGTATTACTTTTTAAAAACTGAAGTTAGGACTACAGTTTTAACACAATACTTTCTGCATATTAACTGTAGTTTCACTACTTCCGAAAACTGTAGTATTACTTTTTAAAAACTGAAGTTAGGACTATAGTTTTAACACAATACTTTCCGCATATTAACTGTAGTTTCACTACTTCCGAAAACTGTAGTATTACTTTTTAAAAACTGAAGTTAGGACTATAGTTTTAACACAGTACTTTCTGCATATTAACTGTAGTTTCACTACATCCAAAAATTGTAGTTTTACATTTTAAAAACTGAAGTTAGGACTATAGTTTTAACACAATACATATTAGTCTTGTAACAGTTTTTACGTGTATTTGTACTTTACATGTAATTTCTTCAAATCTAACGTGTACTCATTTTTCAGCAGAGAAATAAGCCATACGAATTACTTAAGTACATGTAGTCATGTTTCCAAAAATGATATGCCTTGTGGAGACTTGACAAAACTGCATGATCTCCATACATCGAACTGCATGTGAGGGACACCAAATAATTAGGTACATGTACCAGTAATCTACCACTCGCATTCTGAACCATGCAACATTGAATATGCTACAGCACCATATCTGCACAACACACAGTTTATTGAGCTAAACAGGAAACAGTCCACATGTTACATCATCAAGAGAATCATGTTACATGCCCAGACTAACACACACACACACACACATACTTGTTTCACATGACTAGTGTGGACTTTCCATTGCTTTCGTGTAGTTAAGAAAAACCAGTGAAAAAACTCATTTTTCTCAAACTGTAAAAACTCTTTCACCCAATTTTTTTTCTATGATTCCCTTTAGTGTTTCTCTTCATTCTGCTACAGATAAACCTAACCCAAAAATGCCTCTAAACCTGTTTTCCAGAAATGGGGAAACACTGTGTGGACGTGGGGCAAGTCCACACAACGTCGGTGCTACCTACATTATGTGGACGTCTTTTGTTCGGAAGTCCACACTGCGTATGTAAGACAAACTCACCCACAGCATACATAGTGTAGCATGGGCAAGTCACATTACGCAATGACCTTGCATACCAGATAAACGGTCAGTGTGGAAAATTTGAAAACTGCATTCAGTTGCAACAGTGCTGCAGTGCTTTGCAAGAGGCCAGAAAAGTTGAATTAAACTGGGTCAAAATATAGTTGCATGACATGTGCAAGCCTGATGTGGACATAAGTTACTGTTCATGTGCACACGCATCCTGCATGTACATGATTAGCATGTAGAAATACACTGGATGGATGATCGGTGGACATGTTGGAGCTTAAGAGTTTAGACATGATGATACCTGGCATGATATGCCTGGACCATGGAGAAATGCCTGGACTCTTGTCTCACGGAGTCACGCGTCACAATCACAAGCTGTTGTATGCGGTAAGTCTACAAATTCACGTTTGGCTTTTATTCAATTTGTTGATGATATTCCGTTATGGCTGTCCTACCCCACACTTGCAATTGGATCACGACATGCTGGATATTAAATCAGCTGTAAGCATATGTTAAAGTTTAAACTGAATGACTAGGAAAATTATTATTGAAAAAATTGGACCCAGTTTGTGTAATATTTTAATTATTTGTGTGTGTGTATTTTTTTTCATTTCAGATACATCGTACAGCATTAGCAGCAAGAACTTATCCCCCAATCCCTGACAAAGGTTTGGTCATGTTGGTGATGTGTAAAAACATGTATTATAAACCACAGCAATCCAGGTATTCCATTCAGCCATAGGGGCCTACATACTGTACATGTGTTTGTTACTCTGTTAATTTACTTGGGCTCGTGAGAAATTTCACAACAAGATTTCACTGCATCCTACTTTTGCAATGCAAGAACAAACTTACCAAAGAAAGATTAGCAATAAATTATATCCAATTTCAGGGCAAGCTGAAAAACATGTATATGCTGGAAGTACATTTTCATAATTTTACCTTTTAAAGGGCATTGCAGATGATATGCGTATTACTTCAATAACATGTAAGCTTGTGGGCAGTTTTTTGTTGTTTAAAGTTTCACAGTCACAACCCTTAAATTCAAACTTTGAAAACTATTCTTGTTGATAGATGGCACATTTTCATTATAAAAGACACTTTGAACGGACAAATGTACTTTTTGTGGCAAACATTGTCACAATAAAACCGGGGCTTCGTTGTGTTTAAAGACTGCACCATCCCCTTTGTAATAACCCAAACTTAAGTGTATTCAGCTGTATTTTTTCAGCTGTTCATTTTCCTGTTCATAACTTTTTAAGACCGTAATATTTTTAAGGTTAAAATGTTTACTGTTATCAACTCGATATACATGTACATGTAGGTTTAATTTTATACAACAGTCTTGGATGCATACATTGTGTGCATGGATTTGTGCAGTGTGAACAAGTCCTTTTTCTAAGATACAGATTAAAGACTTTGAGCTTAATTGAAGGATAAGACCATATTTTAATTGCCTTCAAAAACCTGTGCATTCCTGTTTGAGAAAAATGCTTGTGTGTGCATTTTTGAACATTTGATTCATGTTTAGTTAAATGATTTTTATATTTTTGCACTTTTTAGGGTGACATGTCATTTAAACATCATAAATATGTTAATTTTAGTAAAAGTAATGCACATGTATTTAATACTTTTTTTGCAGGTGCCATATAAGCCAGATACCACAACATTGACGTACATGTACATGTTTATTGTTTAACTTAGTCTCTTTTTGCAGATAACATGTGTAACACAAGTATGAGCTGATACCTCCTTCGTTATATTTTTAAATTTATTTTACCCTTTGACAAGTTCAATTTACAGTCTTTGAACACTTTTTGCATTATAAAACAGTTCTTTAGCTCATTTAACAAATAACTGAAAGTGAAGATACTTTTTTTTCAAGTACATGTACATGTATTTGCTCAACTTGTGAAATGTAAACTTTATTTTATTTGTGTGACAAATATAGGATGATGCACATGTGACGTGTGCGATGCGAACCCCCCTCTATTTATTTTTACATTACGTAATCGTTATCTGTTATTTAAATTGGCGAGCGCCCTCTTGGTTTTGTAAACCAGTTCGCGCGCTTTCCACATTTCGTCATTCTGTTTTCGGTCGAAGACCAAGTAACACGGTGTCTTCGTTCCTCAACAGGTAATGATCTTTTTACATTTTACCTCAATCTTTCTCATAATAATAACTTATATTAATTCACAGTTAACAGGTACTATCCTTGAGTAGATTTAGATTGCTCTTAGGTCATATTAGTTGATTTTGGAAGCATATTCCATTATTTGAGGATATTGATTGACTTGTGATTTTTCATGTATTCAAGAATTCATTTAATTATCTTATCGTAAGAGTGATAGATATTTTGATATTGTAGAAGAAATTCAGCAGTTCATTTCTTCATTATTATATAAGATTGGATTAATTATCTTGTATTTATTGGGTTTTCACAGTAAAATTCAATATGGCGGACGCTGCCCGAATTAAGGCGCAAACCGCGGGATCTTGAGTAAATATTGATGAATCCTTTTTGGTATTTAGTATCTAGATTATTTCATAAGTATTTTGTACAGTCATTCTTTTGTATTTTGTATATTTGATTCTGTTTTCGGTCGAAGACCAAGTAACACGGTGTCTTCGTTCCTCAACAGAAATAAACCAGCACAAACTGAGAATCAGCCGTTCAGCCCGTATTATTTAGAAGGGTCACATTTGGTGGAAGATCCGGGTACGGGCTTACCAACGGCAGGCAACGATCACCCGACGATCCTGTACCTTGTCGACGGCCAAGACATCTATCCTGTAGACGACCGGGAAGAGGATCTCGCCCCAAGGAGTGTGACGGCAGCATCAGCCGGGGTGCGGGTAGCACCGCAGACAGGGTAGCTGCAGAGCCCTGTTCCAGGCCAACTCGTCCCCGACTCAAGACGTGAAGACGAGCCCGTGTTCCTCACCGTCCGGTAACACCAACCAACACCATCATCAGTTGCAACGGACCGCTGTGTTTCCCGTATTCCAGGACGTGAAGGACCTTGCCAAGCCATCCCCATACCGTCAGCGAGCCTTGAGCGCCAGCCTACCGGAAAAGTCAGCGAGCTGACCCGTCTACCGAATACTGTCAGCCCGCCTGGAGCGCCAGTCTAACGGAAAAGTTCGTCCATCCACTAGCAGAACTGTTGGATCGAACTACTGGCCGACGCTGACATTCACAAGTCAAGAACTATTTACCGCGAACTTTCTGAAATCGCTGATGATCGGAGTCCCATGTATATTTCCAAGATTTGAACATTCTAGTTTGTTTTCCCACGGACTCCCACTGTTTGAACATTGATACGATCGCAAAGACACGCACCATGCACCATCGTTGATCCATAGTACTTCACAACGATCAAGACTACATTGGGCTGATTAACGACGCTGTGTAAGTTACCCTAGTAACCGTTGTTATAAAAGACTATGATTTAATCCGAATACTCACCTAGTTCTTAAACCTCCCATTGTATTGTGAATTCCGATTTGATAGAAAGCTCTTTCATTAAGTAAGTCGTTGACAATCATTGATCTTGCTTTGCAATCTGTCCAGCTAGTGTACAAATTGGATTAAGTACTTCAGTGCCAACACTTGGTAGCAGATGCTCACTGTTCTTTTGCTTTGATTGACATAATCTTGGTGCAAAACAAGGCAGCGCACACATTTAGTTTGTGTCTGACAGTTTGATCGTTTGTGAATTGATTTTACTTTCCAAATTTTCAGTTGAGTTGGTAATCAAAAAATTGTTTGTGTGTGTATTTCATTTGCATTGCTGAGAAATTTACTGTTTCATTCGACTTCTATTTCATTTGCTTGTGTAGGCTGGTTCTGGTGTATTGTATTTGAGTATCGTTTATTGTGTTATCTTGAATTGCTTTAACTATTTGTTTTTCATTTTCTGATATATTTGTGCATTTGTCACAGTGATTGAGTTACATAATTGCTGTATTGTGATTACCTTCTGATTGATTGAGTATTTTGTTTATCTTTTCGCTATTTTCACCCTTGAATCCGTTTCCTTATCTGATCCTCAATTCCTTTTCTCTGATTCATCTTATTTGATTTGCATTCGTGAAATTTTTCATATGATGACAATTGCTGGTGTTATTTGTGCATTTTTTCTCGTGCACATTTTCCCCTTGTATATCTCCCCTTTGGACTGTTTTCTCGCAAGTTCAGATTGTCTCCTTCAAAGCAAAATGGCAGCCTCCAGAATGCATATGTCCGACGACGAAATCTTCCCATCAACCACCGCACCAATTGGTCAAATGTCGTCTCGTCGACCTCGACTCAACCTCCCTCAAGACACCAGACCCAAGGAAAGACGCATACCTCAACAGGCATCTCCCTTTCAAGAAGATCTGCGTAACATCCAGCTCACCACAGACAAAATGCTAACGCAACTGGAAGACATCGAGAGACGACTATCTCGCAGCACACCCCGACAACCAGTACAAGATTCACATATACAGCGTTCAACCCCCATAAGGCCTACCCCCATATTGAGACGAGGTTCTACTTCAACTGGTTATCCAGTGCTTACACCACAGGATCAACACAGACCTGACCGTTCGTCTCCCATGCCTACATCTCAGCATCGTCTTCTTCCATCGCATCAGGTGAAAACTGTACCGATCTTCACTGGGCGCGACCAAGGTGCAACCATTGCCGTTGATGATTGGGTACGAGACGTGAAGTACCTCATCGAGACCACGTCTATGCCTACAGAACTCCAGTTTTCCACCATCGTCAGATACCTCGGCGGAGCCGCCAGAAAACTGGTCCTCAATCTACCTCCGACACATCAGACCCCTAGCCACGCTTTCGTAGAACTCAAGGCACAATTCGGAGATGTATTTCTAACTGGTGATCCATTGGCCAACTTCTACGAGCGTGTGAGACTTCCCAACGAGGTACCAAGCATATACGCCGTCGAGCTTGAAGCAACATTGAGGATCATCGAAGAAAGATCAAGTCTTAGACGCCCATTTCCAAACAGAAACAGCATGCTCACGCAACAATTCATGAGAGGC